GGTACCGCGAACTATTTTAAATTCACTACGGTCTCTTTTCGTCATGACCTTGACCTGTTGGTGCCATTTCTTGGGATCCACTTTCTGTAATTGTCTTACTCTCTCAGCGTAATAGTTGTTTTAGCAGACCTTATTTCACGTTACACTCTATTGGGCAATACTCGCCAATTACTAGAATTACATGAAGTCAACAAGGCAAAGTTCTGAGTGGCAAGTGACTGGACCGTTGCTCAACATACGTACCGCACGTACCTTGACATATGTAGCGAACCGTGACCGCAGATCAGAAAGGTTGCTTGTCCTCTGGGCGAGGGCACCCTACAGTTACTACAGGATAGATGATGTCAGAGGCATAATAAGGTCTACCCACCAATACTATGTGTAATATTGAAAAGAATTTATCATGAACAGTGGTCTGTTCACCACCACCAGCACAATAATATGTATTTCAGGCACAGGATGGATTTCTGAGGATGGCTAATAAGACATGGGAAAGGAAGTGGACACCAGTGGCTATAAGAGGGAAAGGACAGAAAAAAGGCTGACAGATTGGAAGGAATGTCACGCCAGGCAAAAGTTCTTGGGGACACAGAAGAGGCAGCGGGGAGCAAGATGTGGGGATGGTTGAAGAGAGGTGACTTGAAGAAGGAGATGGATGGTTTATTACTGCTGGACAGGATCATGCACTGTGGATAAATGTAATGGAGGCTAGGGTAGGAGCTGACATATCTTCAGTGTACAGGATGTGTGGGAGAAAGAGGAGACTCATGTCATATGGTTTGTGAATGCTTCAAGGTAGCCCAGAATGAATACAGGGGAGGCACAAAAAGTCAACCAGGGTGATCCACTGGGAAGTATGTCAAAATCGAGGGATCAAGGTCAAGGGCAAGTGGTGGGAGCATGTTTCGGAGAAGGTTCTGGAAACAGAGAGGTAAAGGTTCTCTAAAGCTTCAACATTCAGATTGACCGTGCTGTAGAATACAGGTAGCCGGATGTTGTTGTTCTAGATAAGGGAACAGAGTTGTGCCACATTATGGATGTGGCAGTGCCCGGTGATACAAGGGTTATAGGCAAGGAGAATTAAAGGTCCTAAAGTACTGGTCTTTGGCGAGTGAATTCATAAGTTGTGAAATGTCAAAGTGAAGGTTATTCTGATTGTTGTGGAGGCACTGGGTATTATTTCCAGGTCCCTTGAGAAATTTCTCAATGAGATTGACACTATTTACATTGAATATTCTTGTACAATCTAGGAAAGAGTACAAACATTGTACTCATGTCACTCCTTTAATAGAGCTGTGAATTCTACAATTAATTTAGCAGCTTCAGACCAATTTGTGTGAATGTGTCAAACTCAGTAATAAACTTTGTATCATAAAACCTTTGATGACCCACTCCGGTTGTATGTCATTTGATGTTTTGAGACATCAAGGTGACATCACAGATATCCTTTTTATTAGATATATAGCTGTGATTCACATCAAAACTGCTGGGTAGATGCCTACACACGTGACATTTTATCATTAAATGATCAAATGCTTTATTTTCAGTATACTATATAAGTGTTTAATTGGTTTGTCACAGATAATTTTATTAATGAGATGCAACAATGTGTTGTTTGAATGTTTAATGTTAAGATTTGCCAACAACGGCTAAAACCATAGCTCAATAGAAGATGAACATTTGTGCATGCACAGGTTATGCATACACAGTACGTGTATAAGTAATGCATGTGTGTGCATGTACTGTATATTTACTGCACAGAATGCCTTTTATAAGCAATTCTGTGTCAACAAGGGATCCTGTACTGTTGCAGGCAGCTAGTCAGCTGCTTTGGGGCAACATTGTGATGAATATTCATTGTGCTCTGCCAATGCTGCAGGCAGAGTGGTGAAAAGTACATACATGTACTTCACAGAAGGTCTTTGCAATTGGTTTCTGGTACATATGTGTGTATCTCTCTTGTGTGTAATAGTTGGTATGTAATGTAACAGTTTGCAAGCAATACTGTGTGTTAGCATGGCTCTTTGAAGCTGACGAGCTAATTGATCCAATTTTTACTGCGACTTTGGACAAGAAAAACTGAGAAATCTCTCCTATGCTTAACTACCAAAAAGTGGTACTTGAACTATTAGGTAGTGTTTTTTTACCAGCTTTCCTTATCTGCAGGTATGTGTGAAATTGGAAGGACACATCTTGGTTAAAATGTCTACACAATTTGTGAAAAACACAGAATTCAAAAAGGATCCACTGAATGATTAGCATAATATGTCAGCCAATCACATTAGAGAATTTAGACCAATAAGGGAACTTCTGTGGCAAAACGTTTAACCGATGGGACATCCTCTTAATGGGAGGCATGGCTTCATGGATTTAGGGAATGTAATTTAAAGTCAGTTTTGTCACAGCCTTTATAGGATAAACACCTAATAGATGGCGCAACTTCCAACCTTTTGTTTACCTGCCTCCACCCCATCTCCACCTTGTGTTAAGTAACATGTTATTGTGTGAACAAAATGTTGGCGTTGTGCTTGGCATTATCACAAATATTTGGTGTTGTGTTTCTTGGATGCACACCAAAAACCATTCCCCCCCAGCAGTTAAGATGGGCGAATCGTATCCTGCATCTAGATTTGAGTCAGTTTGGCACTTTGAAGCAGTTTTTGGCGGGAATTTCGACAGACACTGTCAAGAAATGATCTATTATAATGGCCAATAAAATTGTTTCACCAGTTACAGCTGCTAGAGCATACAATGGAGGCACTATGGCTGTAATCTCAATGATTTGTGACAGGCACTAGAATGGCTCATGGATCTTCACCATGGATCTTCCAACAGGGGAACATCGGGTGCCTGCAGATTTAATAATTCAGGTTTAGTGTTTTCACTACAGAGTTAATAATTAATGGGTGTTAACATGACTGTTCGCTTTTACTGATTTTAGGGTCTGGTGTGCCCAATTGTTATTCAGGATTTATGGGTGAGCCAGGTGTATTATAAGTGTTACATTAACAGGGGCTACAGTGCCATGTTTAGAGTTGTATAATGGTGGGCCAGGTGGGGCCTAACTTTGATGGCCTGGTGTGCCATTTTTATGGTGGGCCTGGTGCGTCCTAATTACACGTATGATGGTCTAGTGAGCCATACTTATAGCAGGGTCTGGTGTGCCCTGAATATTAACACGATCTAATGGGCCATGTTTAAGGTGGGCCTGGTGTTCCCTATTTCATGGCTGGGTCTGGTGTGCCTGATGAAAATGCAATTCTGTTGCTAGTTTGCCCCCAACAAATTCTGGTATCTGGCAATATTCGGAAGAGTTCTTGAAAAAAAAAAAACAAAGCTGTGGCCAGAAGACAAATTGAAGTGTGTGTGCGCAGTGATTTATTTTAGTCTGAGAATAAAGGCATGATGTACTTGAAGTGAGGTACGAATTAAAGCATCAATTGCTGTACTGTTACATTTTGAATATTAAAAAGGGGTCAGTTTCGAACTTGAATAAAATAAAGTTGCACGGAGGCATATCAACTTCAATAGACCTGCAGCTAACATTTATCCCACACAGTAATATCACGATAATGCCATCCGGTGAATTTACTTAGGTATTTTATCATTTCAGAATGTGAAATAACTTGTAGCTTGCACTTAGCCAAAGGGGTGTGAACAGATAAAAGAGCTGTAATATCCCCTTTGACTTCAGACAAAAAGCTATTCACAACTGAACTGGCTTTCTCAAACAAAATACTTGTCTGTCTGATCACTCATGTGCTTGTAACTTAAACAATAATATGTAGTTATATATTTGTAATTTTAGTGTAAAAGCATCTTACCCTTCCTTTATAGTTATCCTATACTATAAATTTGTCTTTTGACTTAATGCTTGATGTTTTCTTTTGTTTTGAATTTTTGACAATTAATTGTTGATGTTTTTGTTGTTGTTTAAAGGGCCAGTGCACAAGATTGTTTGGATCATTCCTACTTTAAGGAGCAACCATTGCGTAAGTGTTTGTAACAGAATTCTTGATGAAAAGTTGCTATCAATGCTGGATACCATTGTTCCAAAGCATACAGTTGATATTTGTTATAATTATGCTTCAGTCACTTTTCAAACTTTAGATTAGAAAAGTCCTAAGTATATTTTGTGAACAGGAATAATTGAAGCAAGTAGTCAAAGTACCGTGCACATGTACCAGTAGATTGTTAAATGCATGCAGCTTGTTGAATGTATGATAAAGCTATGGTGAATGGGTCGAGTTGCAGATGTTTGTGTCCATTTCAGGATCAGAATTGTTCTCAGCTTTTATTTGACCATATGCTGGGTTTAATTAGATAATCTGCAATAATCTGCTTTCCCTGAATGCCACAAATAGTGGTATACTGTTTCAAAACAAAGACGGATTCCCTCTGCCATTGACAACTGAAAAAATGTTGGTAATTCCAGCACCTTGGTTTTTTGTTCCGAGTACGGTCTTTTATTTCAAGGCCCAACTCCTTTGTCCGATTTTAGGTAACCCTGGCTATGTGTATAAACCTAAGGTCTCTAGTATCGGTAACCCGGGTACGAAGTGGTTAATTATAAAAAAAGGCTATGCAAGTACTCATTTCTTAACAAACTATCCTCTTTTTTATGCTATTTTTAACTTTGAAGTTGCATTCTTTGGGAAAATTTTAATGCAGCATGCTGTATCAACTTACAATATCAAAATTGTTGCCAGGCTCTGTGGAGACTCGTATTTTTGCCTGTGGAAGTTATCTTAAAAAGTTGCCGAAATACTTGTCGATGTAATAAACTAACATTTGAAAAAGTATAAAATTCAAAACAAACTTGTTTCATACATTGAGGTCAAAAGATCTTTCATTACACATCTTTTCTCCTTTTGCTTATGAAATGAAGGCCAGTCAAAGAGCTTGAAAATAGTGAATCTTTTGGCTTTGTAAGCTGCTATACTATATTGCTGAAGCTTACATTTCAAAATGTGAAGTATGTATATCTTTAAAGTAACTTTTTTTGCTGTTTTAACATATATGCTGAAACAGCTGTTGTTTTGTTCTCTTGTTTGCCAAAGTGTAATACAATAATAATATGATTTTTTTTTAGAGAGCATTACATTAAACATGCTAAAACCAAAACATCTCATTGTGCTTTACAAAGAAATAGCAGGTAAACATGATGAACATTTCCATAAAATAAGATGCAATGAACAAATTTGGAATACAAAATTGTAAAACAAATTCATGAGGAGTTTAAACTGCATTCAAGCCAGAGATGCCAGTTTTCCAATTGTGCCTGGATTTCTTTTTTTTGTTTAATTATAAATTCCCCAGAAATCCACTTTTCGGCTAAGAAAAGGGCCAGAAAGAGAAGACAGATTGGTTTTCACAGTTTGATTTTCACTTCGATTGGGTTTAGACATTTATACCTCCATGGGTGGCTGTGGTCTTTCTTGTGCAAGCGTATACTTTCAAGGATCATGAGTGAAGAAGACAAAAAAATTGCTCAAAGAGTTGCCAATTCTTTGCCACTGGTATGTGAACTTTGGCAGTTGCAGAGACACCACATACATCATTTCATTTGAATAGAACACTCCCAGTTTGCCTACAACTTGTATGGGCAGCCAAAGTTTGCATAAATAGCCAATTTTACCTGAAATTCGTTCAAAATTGACATTTTTCCCATTAATTTTAATTAGGATTGTATTTTCATTTTATTAGTAGTAGTGCAGAAGTATTTAGTAGTGTGTTTGTTATTATCTGGTGTTCTGATAGCTGTGTGGGATTTGTAACACTTTGTGAATTATTCTTTTACATTTGCATGAATGGCCAAAAATAGTTTTAGCACCCGCCTTTGGGAAAAAAACGACTGTGACATCAAAAAAGCAGACCCTACTACCCATATTGTGCCATAGCATGTTAAGGTGATGTCCAGATCGACGCCAAGGTATAAGTAGCAGTCTTGCCTTAGGACCTAGTTAATTTATGTACAGTTTTGCTGATTGGAAAAGTGAAAAGTGTCAGGCATTTACAATTAATTTTTTTAGGAAACAGGGTGATATCTACTCCATGGACTTGTGAAAGGTAAGTCATCTAAAATGCTTTAATAGAAAAGGCTAAAATCCTAGAACCCTTGTTGTTTTGCATTCCATTTGCTATGCTCTGTCGCATGCTTTGCTGCATCGAAGTAAGTTTAGGTGTTTTCAGGCAGACCCTGTGGTATCTCTGTTATAACACAATTAAGTACAAAAATACCAAAATGATAAACCATATTAAATTAAAATAAACACAAAATACTGACACTGAAAAGGTGCCCCTTCTGTAATGATTCTAGTTATATTAAGGCTGGACTAGACATGTTTAGACTGAAGAATGTGGGACTACAGTATTATGTGACACCATCAACAACTCTGACAAATAGGTAGGTGCTTCAATCATGTAATATTTTGTAAACAAAATGCAATATCTTTGACTCAATGTGACATGTTGAGTGACTGGAATCCAGATGAAGATAATTCAAAACAAGAGCAATATGCTCATGTTTTCTAGTTTAAGTAACAAGGCGAGCAGCCACATTTTGTATCAGTTGTAATCTGTGGATTAAATAACCAGGAAGACCACAAACCTAACCGTGATGTAATAAAAGCACAAATAAGATGTTCAGCAGTGGTGCGATCCAAAATATTTTATAATATTTTATAACATGAGACACTTTCACTGATACATGAACTGAAATACCTCGCAATCCTTTTCTTCTGTGACATTTATAACAACAGTAATGTCGTAGACAGACCAGAGGTCTTTTTTGAGGAAACATTGCAATGTAGAGGACAAACAATGTGATTGCACAATTCCCCATAATACAGGGCAATGCACCTGATGGTGGCACGGAGTTAGGGTAATTTTGACAAGGTCCAATGTGTACCACCTCAGAGAACTGCATTTAACAGCATACAAATTTTTCTAAAGTACACAAATGGGTTTAAGAGAGACTCGCTTTAGGTTAATAAACCTTTTTGCCCCCCCCCAAAAAAACCTAAGGCATAATTACACCACAATTAAGACAAAAACCCAGTTGTTCACAGTAGTCAGCATTTCCTTGTTTTTACTTGCTTTAATCATTCCTCCACAGCAATTTAGAACTTGACACTTGGCACAAACACAAAACAAGATGTGTTATATGCAAAAATTGGGGCCTGTTTTTTTGTCATGCAGATCTGGACCACAATCAGTGATCAGACGTTGGTCCACTGATGCCAGAACCTGCTTAATGGATGGTGCAAACCAGCCTTGTACTCTGATGAAGATGATGTCATTTTTTTAATGACTTTTGAATTTTCAAATCTTAATATTATTTGACCATATCCCTGAATAAAACAAGTTTTGGTTTAAATTCTTCTTGCAGCATCTTAAGTAGTCCAAGTTAATGTATGGGTTGTTTGACAATTTTTATGACATTATAAAGAAAAAAAGTTCAATTTTTATAAACTTACTAAATCAGATCTAATCAATATGAAATTTGCTTGGTAGATCAAAACTCTGATTATTATTTGAAGCGACGTCATTATGACTTCATCATTTGAATTTTTATGCATTGTGATTTTTGTTCTTGTATAAATTTACAAATATATCTTTAATGAGATTTGAAGCATTGCATGTTGGAGAGTAGACTAGGGAGAGGGCTTTTAGTGACACCATGTGGATAGATCTCTTTTAGAAGAGGTGGTTCTGATAATAATCAGTGCTCGTGTACTGGACATTGTGACAAGTGTGCTTCCTCAGAAATTGAGTGGTCATCCTTGGAAATGGAGTGCTGTACTAATACAGTTGCGTGTGAAATGCTGTTTTCAAACTGCTCCCATTTCAACATGAATCACTCCTGGACTGAAATTTTGACCAAATGTCCCTTATATGAAACACTTCAATTTGTGATGATTCTTTTACATTAAAATTTCTCCTTTTTGAGCGATTTTTAAGTATCAGTTTTGTGAAATTCTTGTGAAGACCTACACACCTTTAGAAATCCTTGTGCAGGCTATTCAACCGATTCTCCTGGGTCTCCACAAGACACCATAATTAGAAACTGGAGAACAAAGCCATGTCTCCACAAGGATACAAATTTCGGAATGCAGTGGACTTTGATGGAGTGTTGGTGTATAAGTGCAGGTGAGGTCATTAATGCATGGCGGAGGACGCTAGCCAAGGGGTGGCTTGGATCCCAGGTGCACTGAAGCACAAAAAGGATGCTTGAGCTCTAAGGTCACTGATGCGTGGCATCTCTGACACATTTCTGATTATTTTGAAACTTCACAGTATTAAATGTCAAATTTGATAATGTCACAATGACATCATCAGATATCATTCTACAATGTTTGAACTGTATCACTTTTATATACATTTCATTTTGTGAAGCATAGTTAATATTTAGATGACATGATGTGATTTTTCTTATCGTGCAATTTTGCCAACTTTCAATTTTAACTTCATCATCGGATGACAAGCATATCGTGGTGCAGTGCACATGTAGCTTCCACATTCATTCATGTTCAGTTGCTGACTACAATTGTACGTTATGCATAATGAAAGCTGTTGTTTTCCTTTTGATGGGTAGAATTTAAACAAAATATTAAGTGAAGCTCTAAGTTGCCCTGGAAAGTGAAAGAGTGTACCTGAATGTAATAACATAAAATGTCTAGTATTTAACAGTTTTCAATAAAAGAGCATGTTTCATTTAAGGTGCACCATTCAGAGCTGTCTATTTTTTTTTTAAGGCACTGTTTCAATTGGATTGAATTTCCCAGGTACCTAGACAGGGATAGAGTGTTACAGATAAAAACATATTAAAGTTAATTCATGATTATGCATCATGTGTTAAGTTACACCACATTAAAGGATTTATTTTAAGCTCTGCATCCTCTGAAGTACATATCTGATTGGTGAAAAGCTTGCAGGTACTTAAAAAGGGATGTGTTTCCATGAGAAAAGAGGGATATTGCAATCCCTGTCA